GTGTACCATTGATATTACACATCTCACTTTGTCATCATATAGTATGGATCAGGTGTAACTTAAAGGGCAGTGGTCATCGCGCCACGTATACACAAGGTATGTGTCTCTTAAAACTGAGACGTTATCAAGCTTTAATTAGGTAATTTTGTTGGAAAGAGTACCCCCATCCCTAACCCTACCCCTACCCTCCAGCACTCCCCATTTAATTGTACAATCCCCTCCTATTATAAAGGACATCTATAGTTATCTAGAGGGGGCATATACAAATGAATTGGGTAACTGGGAGTGTTAAAATTAGGGTTAGAGTTAGGAATGGGGGGTACAAAAGGAACTCTTGCCATTTTGTTGAAGATTGGAAGGTAATGAAAAGTCACCAGCAGTGGTAATTAGTGCAAATCATGCACAGATCAAAACTTGGCCTCCTGATTATATTAAAAGAGCACATTGCATTGTGGGAAAATCAATGTTTATCAACACAAATTTTGAACATGCGCAGTGTGACGACCACCGACCTTTAAATTGGGACACTTTCAGTTTTTATTTAGTGTCAATCAATAAAGAACTGTATCAGCGATTACTCAACTACATCACAATTCACTCCCACCTCTCGTAGTTGCAGACAACGATGTATGGTCAACCGCTGCATCCCGTAGTCTCTGTCTTTCTTCTTCGTCTGAACTCGATTCATCCGAGCTCACAGATGATGCCATTTTCAATGTTCAAATGAAAGCGAGGCCGATGACCCCGTAACCCACAAACATACATATGTTTACTTTATTATGTTTGCTCAGAGGTACATTACCTCTGGTTTGCTTTATGTATTTATCTCAATTGTAACAGGCTATTTGACATTTAATAATTTACGATTTGTTTTTGTTTTAGGGACATTTAAATAAAAACAATATAAAACTTTTATCAAAACAACAGAGGCAAATGGATTCCCCTTGAGGGCGCTAATCCCGGCTCTAATCTTTTCCGGTTATCGTCCATCCCATCCATCGAGGTTCGTATCGGATATTGTTGACCATAATTGAGTCGGTTTGTTTAACTTTTAGGTGATTGTCCAATTCAAAGTTGTATATAATAATTGTGAAAAGAACACAGCTCATATAGGCACTGAAATTGGTTGGTTTGAGTGAAAAAAGCAAGAAACATCTGTCTTTGAAGTCAATATCGTCTGACCGTTTCAAGATGGCGCAATTCCATGCTATGATGATGTACACTTCCGTACTAGGATGGCTATTCCTGAACATTTCTATATATAACGTAAACAAGTGGATATTCGTCAACTACTCTTACAACTTCCCGATCGTCCTGACAACGTTGCATATGCTAGCACTGTTTGTTACTCAGACCGTTATCATTCGATTTACACCTCTGGGCCTGGCATATGGCGAAGGGGACGATAGACTGAAGATACAGCCTCACCTGAAGAGAAAGATATTCGTTCTGAGCGTAGCATTCTGCATTAGCATAGCCAGCGGAAACATTGCTCTCAAATACCTATACGTATCATTCGTTAAGATGACCACCGCTACCACGCCCGTTATCACAGTTTTGATGTCGCATTTTATATTTAATTTTCATCACAATAAATACGTGTACGTCTCGATGGCACCATTGGTGATGGGCAGTTTGTTGTGCACTTTTGGTGAGGTGAACTTCCATCTGATTGGCTTCGTGGCTGCGGTTGTATCAACAGTGTTGAGAAGTACAAAGACGATTCTGCAAGGTTAGTAGTAGTACAGTTATCACAAACTGTAAATTGTTACCACTAAATATAGTCACCATACAATCTAAGGGCCTTTGTGGGTATGATATTTTGTGATAGTCACTGTAACCCACTTTCTGAATAATTCTAATGAAGTATTCACTGCTACACAGTTTCGCTTTTTTTCTGTGAAAAAAAAAATTCTTGCAAAAAGAATGTGACTCAATTGAATGGGACTGTTAAATATTCAAGCTATGGTACTTAGTGTTGTACCAAACCACTTCATCATAGTGAAATTGTACAATATGATATGCTGGAAATTTTTCATTTTATAGGGGGTAGTATATTAAAAAAAAAAGAATATAAAGAAGAATATTTTGAGAAAAGTCCTTTATGGAAACTGACAGAAATAAATCTGAAACACAATCTATAAAAATAAGCAAAAATCTAGATCAAAACGAAAAGAGGAAAACAAATTGGTTGAGGGTCAATTTCTTATTGCTTCGAAACATGAAACATATTGTAAGGGCATATTCTACATTTAAACATGAAGAAACAGAATATTAAGTCTGCCACAGAGGTCCCGACAGACATTTATACTGAAATCACTCAGTTGGTAAACACAAACTCCACTAAAAAACACTGAACTAGGAGCTGCTAGTTTAGTATGCCCTCTTGTGGTCAGAATTACTGTTTCATTTGTTTTGACAAAAGCTGATGAATGTGATCGTTTGAAGAGAATGGTTTTAATAGGTTGTCAATTGTCACAACGAGATGATAAGCAAAATAGTTGCAGATTGCATGTAATAGTTAATTACCTATTTTTCATATTACAACAGTCTTGATTACAACCAAACTGGGCTTTTAAAGATTCCAAAAAATCCTATGGCCCAAATAAATCTGAGGCGATATTATTGGCATATTCTAGAAGTTCTTAATGGGTATGCTGGATGCTCTATTAGAACACAGTTCGTGATAGGAGGGACTGTGATTAAAAGTACATTGTAGTCTAAGCATAACCAAAATTCACCTAGCTTCAAGGTGGCCTAATGCTAGCTTAGTTTGCTTTCAAAATTATCACATATTTAAATTTTGCAGAGTAAAAATTATTGATGAAAATAATACTCACTTTAAAAATTTGCATTAAAAGACAAAGCCAGCTTGGGAGCTATACACTAGGACTTTACTGTATATATGCACGCTTATGTATGCATGCTTATGTGTTAGACTTCAAACTGTGTAAAGCTCAATACCTATCTTTTCAGCTATTTTATTGAAAGAAGAAAGAATTGATTCTGTACGGCTACTTTACCACATGTCTCTACCGAGTCTACTTATCTTGACTGTCTGTTCAATCATCTTTGAACATGATGCATTCTGGGATACCAGTATCTTCACCAACTATCATCTATGGTCAAGCATCCTGCTGAGCTGTGCGTGTTCAGTCAGCTACAATATGGTCAACTTCGTCGTAACCTACTACACCTCGGCTGTCACCCTGCAAGTTCTGAATAATGTCGGGATTGTCTTGAATGTAGTTGTCTCAGTACTCATTTTCCAGAATGAGATGTCGCTGTTGAGTACCTGTGGCTTGTTTTTCACAGTGGCTGGTGTGGTTATGTATGAACGTGCTGGTGAAGTAAGTGTTTTCATGAGAACAAGGCTTAGTAAGTCAATGGGTCCGGATGATTAGATCTCTAGCTATATCTATCCAACAAAATAATGTACTGTAAGTCTTCTATTAATTGGACCACCTGGTTTAGCTGAAACAAATAGGTTTTGATTTTTCTTTGGCAATGCAACTACGGCACATTCATGATACAATTTCTATTTATTGACAAGAAATAAAACTATTTTTTTTTGTATTGTTTCCATGTTTTTATTCCTTTTCTTCATTAAATCATTGACATCCTTAATCGTATAACCACGGACTAAAACTCAATCTAGTAATTCAACCACTCACAAGATATAATTTTAGTTTTTATTCTAGCAATTCAGTCACCTCCAAAAATAATTGTTCCTTTTTGGTCCTATTAATGGAAGGTTTACGATAGTTTCCCTGCTGTTAAAATTAATTTAATAAGATTACCATACCTGCTCTATTAGTAGTGCATGTAGAGGTGTGTCTGTCATGCACTTCTAATACAGCAAATACTGTAGTAGTTGTAGACTAACCTATTCACCTTTCTACAATCAAACATGCACTTGTCTACATGCTGTTTTGTGTTATAATTACATTTTACACAACATTTTTGATTTTCCTAAAGGTGCACATATTAAAAAGCCCAATTCTTGAATACTTACTGGCCTACAACAGCAAAATGTATCTTGTTGAAGTTTGGAGATGAGCCTTCGCCATGCTATTGGACTGAATATTGTTCAAATAATGCATGGCATGTGTGAAAAGGTGTATTTGATAAGGTTTTCAAATATGTTCCTACAATAGACAAGTTTAGAGTTCTACCATTATCTTAGAAACTTGCACTCTCCGGTGTAATAATGTTCCAATTTCGTCTGCGTGGGAAAGTTGATTTTGACACGTAAGCGTTTGATAGCTCATCAGAAGGCATGTAACCATGGAAACCAGCAAACACATTGTGTGAGGTAGAAATTTAAAAGAAAATCGCCTGATGGTACCATAACTCAAAACTCGTCTATTCAGAATGTGATGTACCGATAGACAACAATTTGTTGCTGCTGTATCACTGTTGATTGGAGTATGTGTGTAACATTGGTTTTCTATATGGCATACTGCAAATCCTGTATTTGTTATTTGGAATAATATTAGCTTGGCATTTTTGTAATTTTTTTCACCTCGTGGGGTCTGCATGCTATTTCCTTCATTGAGGGTGTGCAACTGAACATAATGATTGTCAACTGTTTATTTTTTGATGTATACCATTTGAAATATGCTATTTCTGTCTACGAGATGACACTACCACTTATATGTAAATTCATTTATACACCATGCACATGTAGCAAAAGCGTTTTTTGACATGCATGAACCAATTTCTTTCAAAATTGACTATGTTGGTACTTTGAATACGTCATTGTTAAGTAATTATTTCAACAAAGTCTCAAACCCAAAACATTATCAAAACTTACCCAAGATAGAATGTCAACCTTAATCCCTCCACCAGAAAATATTGCACTCATGTTTTATGTAATTAAAAATGGTTTTTCATGACCACACCACCGTTCTCCTGATTTGAGCCAAACTACTTATACAACTCTAGACAACTAGATCTAGTACACTTATATATATCTGTCTAGTACTTTATATATATATTATCAGTGTGCCCTCTAACAGGACTGACTTTGTGGGGATCCTGGGTCAAAATGGAATCCCACGAAAGTTGCTGGGGAGAAAGGTCTTGTACGGACTGTATAGATGACTTGAGGCACAAATAAAAATGTTGTGGCCCTTGATTACCTTCATTTTTACACTTATTTTGTTTGAATTTCATATAACTAAATTCCATCACTATAGTAAGATGTTATTCAAGATTGCTATATCAATATGCAAGTTTCTCTAGTGTCAACAACGTGCCGATAAATTGCCACAACTACCGGTAAATTTGTGTGCATCATTGATGCGTCACATCGGCACGCTGCTTAATATGCTGTCTGCAGTATGTGACAGTCACTCATTTAGTATCTCAAATCAAATTATTCTCTTTTGAAAGCTTGAAAAAGAACAACGTATACCGACCTCACCGGTGTAAATGCCTAATTTACAAGATCTTGCAATAAATCATGCTTTCACAGTGAGGAGTCAAGTGGTGCAACCTCTGCCCTCATTACATTGGTTGTATATTTAGTCATATTTTGTATTGCTTTGTACATTTGCTGTATTAGAGTTTTAAGATATTAAGTTATTATTGTTGTCATTTGGATACAGATAAATTGTAAATTTACTTTCAAGCTTGATCCAAATTCATCAGTGCAATGTGGTCCATGATTAATAAATAGCGTTTATTAATTTTATTTGTTTTTCAACTCAAGATTGATTGGAGCACTGCCACTTAAGGCCTAAAATAGTAATAGTGTGTTTCTGGTACAATTGAAAACAAAAGTAGGGTAGGTAGAAATAACTTTTTATTTTATTTTTAATTATTCTTAATATATCGTTCCGCAGTGCTGCTTGGCCCATACTATCATAGGAGATTATTTTTTAATGTTACACCACATCTTGGGCTAATCTGCACTGGCTCGGAAGGTTGTAAATGATTAGCTAGTTTGAATTTGCATAACAATACTGACAATGAACGTGCATTCAACGCCACAAGTTTTTTGTTTTTTTAGCCAATCAGAGTTCATCTTCCGAGCCAGTGCAGATCAGCCGCACATCTTGCATGTACATGTAGAGGTGTACATTTTGGTTAAAAAATGAAGAATTTCAAGTATAGAGCTGAAGGTGTACCTATAAGTGTCCATTTTCCAGTTTGGCCATAAAAAGATGCATACTGGAAATGCATTATTTTTTTTTTTATTTGGCTTAATCACTGGTGCTTAGCTTTTCTGACTTTCAACATTGTTGATGTTTACAGTATATCAAAGTATCCATTATTTTTGTACAGCTCAAATCTTGTTATCATTATTACCAACTCTTCATATACTCTGAAGAAACATAGAAATAAGGCTAGTATTTTTAAGACAGAAGTTACCATCTCAAAATTTAAATGAAACTCATACAAGTGACGATAGCCATTTTGATATCAAAATGAAGATCTCAGGTAGTGGTTGCCATTTTGAAATGAGGCTTGTTGATGGCTACCGGTACTCTGAAATGAGGTTTGCTGGTAGCCATTTTGAAATGAGGCTTTTTGGCAGCCATATTGGAATGAGGCTTTTTGGCAGCCATTTTGAAATGAGGCTTTTCGGCTGCCATTTTGAAATTGGAATAATGCTTGTGCATATTATTATCCAATTAAGGTAAGCTAGATTAATTTCATAGAATATATATTACTGAAATATATTTCAGAATTCATATCTTTAGGAATTTATTGAGGAATATAATGAATTTAACAAGTATTTCTGTTCAATACTTTTTTTTTTTTAAATTCAGTTTGAATGTTTCAAATAAAATTTATTTCTACAGCATATAATTAAATTGTCTTGTATATTTATGTTTATACTTAAAAAAAACATGCCTTTGATGGATCACATACAAATTACTTATTACTTTAAATCAAAATATACATAGGCAGTGAACTTGCTCTGTGTATGCACGTTTTTTTTTAGTAACCGTGGTGTATGACCACCAGTCACGCCAAGCTTCAACGTGATTTACATGTTGTAAGCCATCACATTATTAACATTGCTTGTCTAAACTCTCCACAAATACTCAAAATGACAGGTACATAAGTGTTACATGTTTATACTCGTACCTGAAATCTAATTCACAAGTTGTCCAGTTTATCCAATCACTGTTAATCATTGTTTGGAAAATTAGCATATTCAGATTAGCAGTGTGCTATATTTATCAGCCAACCACGTCATGGTCATCCATTGTTTGGGAAATTAGCATATTCAGATTAGCAATGTGCTATATTTATCAACCAATCAAGTCGTGGTCATCCATTGTTTGGGAAATTAGCATATTCAGATTAGCAGTGTGCTATATTTATCAGCCAACCACGTCATGGTCATCCATTGTTTGGGAAATTAGCATATTCAGATTAGCAATGTGCTATATTTATCAGCCTATCAAGTCATGGTCATCCATTGTTTGGGAAATTAGCATATTCAGATTAGCAGTGTGCTATATTTATCAGCCTATCAAGTCATGGTCATCTATTGTTTGGAAAATTAGCATATTTAGATTAGCAATGTGCTATATTTATCAACCAATCAACATCATGATTGCCCACTAACTGTAGAGAAGAGAGATTTTCAGTATTTTACAAAAGGTGTAAATTTGAAAAAAACTTCTGTGCACCACAGACCATCTGGCAGCCCTGGAACATTCACATATCACAACACACCAGGTATCCATGAACAAATGTTTCTCCAAGTTGAAATATTCTTTATGTGAAGTGTTTTATTTTAAATAACTTCATTTTCTCACAAATGATCGAAGCACATTTATTGATTTAATAGTGGGTTTGTTTTAATTTATAACAATGAAATCATGTGTTGTTCAAATACAGACAATGGTATATTATAATGATACCGTAACTTGATAGTGCACTGTCAGCGTTCTAGAGTTATATTTGCAAACACCCATGTCTAAAGGCCTAATAGTAAGATAATACTAGTTTATTGGTGGTGATGTTTACATTTTGCAGACATAGTCAGAAAATCGACTTATAATTTCAAACTTCACACATACATCATATCATATACATATGCACAATGCATTTGTTTCATGATCAAATTCAAGATGGCCGAATGGTGGTCATTTTAGTCCTAAAAGTGCATCAAAATCAAGCATTTCTGCCATTCAGGAACTGGATCTTTGGTCATGCATGGATATATTTCATTCAAACTAGGACTGCCCATTGAATATGAGTCTTCAATGCACATCATTATTTTTTCCAGATCAGATTGAAAATGGCAGACTCGCAGCTAAATGTTCCAGGGTCATATTTAAACTTCATATCATACATAAGCACATGTATTTGTTTCATGATCTAATTCAAGATGGCCGAATGGCGGCCATTTTAGGTCTAACAAATCAACATCAAGCATTTTTGCCATTCCATAACTGGATCTCGGTCATGCAGTCATACTTCTTTCTCCATTAAACATAATGGGTCGTTGATACATGTCATTAAAATGGCTGACTGATGGCCAATTTGTTTTTGGAGCTATATTGCTAACAGTGCTGAACTGCTCAAACTTCAAACTGACATCATTTAACAAGCATCTATTTCAGAATCTGATTCAAGATGGCTGATCATGATTTTCGTACTAGAAATTCATTCATTATGCATATCACGGGCAGAATAAAGGAAGGAATCACACAAATAAACTGGCTCCACTTTGTATTACCCGGTATTTGTTTGTCACACAACTGTTAATAAGTATTTGGCACTAAAAAATTGACCAGAATTATATAGGAGCCATTTACAACTAGACTTGAGAAAAAACTGAACCCCAATATACAAGACAATATTTGTTGTACACAATATACTGTAAAGGGATTAACTATTCACTGGGTTTTAATTTTGCTTATTTCGCTGACTGGAAAATGCGCTAAATTAAAACCCAGTGAATATGTACAATTTAGCATAGAACACATTATCTAAATGATGAAACCGTGAATTTAAAACCCACTGAATATGCCTGAAATGGTAAATTAGCAAAATTTGAACCCAGTGAAAATTAGTCATTTTACAGTAAAATTACCACAAAAGAACATCATACAAAGCAGTCATTTATTATATACATGTATACAGATGAGAAAAAATGTACACTACAATTACACATATATATTTTGATAAATTTCTAATCATTTTGAGTTATTAAATAAAGACTTATTATGGCACTTGAAAGTTCTGCAAGCACAAATGGGGTAATATTATTTCTCACATTGTTACAATAGTATCACCTGCACACTGTCAGATAAAGGCTGTATAAGGTACATGCTTTAACATATACATATGGAGGGGGGAGAAAAAAAATTATCACTAATTCTTTATACACACTGAAGTAGAAATCGGAAATTAGATGGGTGTGTTAAAAAAAGCAAAAAAAAGCAATCCACTGTATTTTCTCCAATAGAAATGCATATAAATCAAAAATTACATTTGCTAAATATTATATCATTAATACATTACATATTTGGCCATAGAAAAATCTGAAGTTTATGTAAAGTGTATACGGTACTAATAGAGCAAATATGGTGCGTTACAGTGGAGATTTGTATTGAACACAAGTCGCGACTGTTGTATTTTAGCCTGGATGCCAGACTGTTGTCACCCAATCTCCACCAAAGTCTGGACAGACTGCAAAAATCCACCTCAACAGTAATTGAAACGGCAGCATTTTAAATCTTTCCTAAGAGCAGCACATCTCTAAAAAATTAGAACATGTGAAACCCACCTAACCTACTATCCAAAAACTGCTAGAGCTATTAAATTTCTACTGGTGTACAAAATATTTTTTGGACTGCACTTGTGTTATAAATACAGTATACTAGGGCTAGAATGCAATATGGGTCTTGTGATAACAATTTGTGATATTTCCCATAATATTGTTACTAGGTTGTCCGAGTGTGGGGTGCACAAGGATAAACCAGTTATGGACTTTACATTAAAGCGAGGGAGTCATCACCTAGTTCTGCCTCAGATGGCTATACAGTGTCATTGTTTACAAACAAGTGTCTACCCATGAGCTTTTGTGTTTTTAGCATGTGATGTTATCCTCACTTGGGACTCAATTCCCGCATGTGCGCAGGTGACCACCCTCTCGCTTTAAATGCATACCTAGAACAATCTCTGATATTTGATTCTGGTTTGACTTGCGCTAACTCTGGATATCAGTATACGCCTTAATAATTAAATCCTTTACCCCCACCCACAAGTAAGACAATGTTTTTAGACATCACACTGAAATAGCTGCTCAGACATAATGCATTACATAGAACCATCCAAGAAGCTCTATGCATGACCTTTAAAAAGTCATACATCCTGGTACTTTAGTCTTTCTTTCTAATATTGAATTTTTGCAATGTTTCACTATGAACTACAAATACAATGACTTGCAGCTTTGGGGAAAATAATTGAGAAATTCTAATTTACAGTAAATTTGTACCCATAGGAAGTAACAAAATGTTTAATCCAAGATAGCCTCTGATAATCTTCTATAGAAGCAACACGAATCCAACTCAAATGAAACAACTAAAAGTATGTACTTAAATACTGGCCAACCCATGATCAAAGCGTTATAAATACCACACTCAAATTAAATAAACAGCACAGGAAAATTAAGGAAGGTTGTACCAGTGATATTCAAACAAAATGAAACGAAACAATTGGATTGGCTAAGCAGACACCTCCCTCCATTCTGTGAAGTACTTGTGCACAAATTTGGAGTATAATCAAGTTAGAATAGCCTATGTTACTATGCCCTCGCACAATGCGATACTATCTTGTTTATAACATACTCGCGTGGACTTTGGTGTACATGATACTGCTTGGTTACAGAATACAATTATATATTATACTATAATGTTGACGGTGATGAAAAAGTGATAAATGCATATTCAGTATAACAAAAATATCTACCATATATGCGGAGTAAAAAACTAAAACAGTAGTAGAACAGATAGACTCACTAATATTTTCTCCAACCAAGGTCAGTTTATTCTAACCTCCAGGGGTGAATCTAGGTTTTGAAACTGCATGAGTACCCTAAAATACACCTGGTGCATGATACAAGTAGGCGTATACTTGGACCCCCCCCCCCCACCCTGATCGTGGCAATTCCTTTTCACAGAGTATGAATTAAAATGTGCAATTAGATATCCCACCATTTTGTCCATTGCCATACACCGTCTTTGATTGGGTGCAAATTTTACAAGAGTTTTCAATCTGATCTTTGTATTTTACCAAGGTCAAACATATGGTCAAATGTGACATAATTTTATGGGGAAATAAGTTTACAATAAGTTTACAAAACAGTGTGATTTGGAGAATGACATTGTCAGACTGATTTCTGTCATCACTGTAGAGCTATATAATGGAGTAACAAATCCTGAAATGATCAATCATTTTACAAACTACTGTAAAAACATTACACTGTTATTTAGTATCATTATTTTCAGCTTATTCACCAGGTTTTAAATTCACAGATTTACCAGTGAAACAATCAGTTATATTCAAGTAGATTTAATTTATTGGATTTCACCGAACAGCAAATTTAAAACCTAGTGAACAGGTAAATGCATTTACATTAAACTAGATACTTGAATATTTAAAGTAAAGCAGTCGTATATATGTATAAACAATATATTGTAGCCAGCCTATCAGAAATGCATTAAAGTTTCACTCTGAGATCATTCCTATAGCCTTATTTGAGATCTTGGGACTGTAATAAGAAATATTTGATGTGAATACATGCAAGCTGCATGGAATTGTGGAAAATATTTAGGATTTTCCTGGATTCATCCTAATTCCAAATCACTGCAGCTCACAATGATTCAGAATAGATGTAAATCTTTATGAATACACTTGCGTTTGAACACTATACAGAAGTGCTGTTAAATGAAATGTGAACACACAATCAAATTGGGAGAGTTGAACTGATTGCCTGCATTTGCTACTGAGAACCACTGACAAATTTAGAACAAATGTTGCACACGAGATACCGTGAAGAAAAATTGCACGCAAATTGATGCAGGAAAAAAATGATGGCATATTCAAGAAAAAATAAAAATGTACAGATAACACACATAATAGAATTGCATTGGGCCACATATTTTTTCGCAATTTGCCCAAATCTAGATAATCAAATATTCGACACAATAATCCCTGTCTCAATAAAGCTTTGTAGATGATCTCAGATTGTAACTTGAATGTACTAAACATGCAAAAACTAGTAAACTATACTCAGCCTTGTTTAAATAACCTGACATCTAACATTCAAAGCACATTGTGACCAAACAAACGATATGAAATCTTACCATAACTATTTCAAAATTTGGCTTTAAAGCCAAGTAAATACCTTATTCAAAACAAACGATAAACATCTCGTAATATAAAGATGTATGTATCTTTTAAAGTGTTCATATCTCTGCATGTACAACACACACACCATGCTCCATAAAAGAGCCGAATATGAAATAATGATATATACAGCGCATAAATGCATCTAAATGCATGACTTAACATTGTTCTACAAGCAGTCTTTTGCTGTTATATGCTAATCTCTAGCATGAGGTATGTAAATGTGTCGAAATGGACATAGTGCGAGTGGTTAGTGCTATTAGCACTAATCCTAAAAACTACTAGATCTAGTGCTAAAATGGCACTAGAGCTAGTGCTAAAATGGCACTAGATCTAGTGCAAAAACGGCACTAGATCTAGTGCTAAAATGTACATAGTGCGAGTGGCATTGATATTGCGTTGTCAATGACGTCAAGACATCCCGTAATTCTCTGAAAATAAATTAATATTTACGTAAAATTGTTGTATCTTTCATTCATTGGAAATGTGCTACAGTGGGAAAAATGAGAATGTCATTGTCCACGTTTGTCGTAATACTAATAGACCTTTGGAACAACGCGATCGGCC